CTCAAACTATTTCAAAAATAAACTCATTTCTTTGATGATTTCTTACTTGGTTCAAAAATTGTAAACTTACTTTATTGAAAATAAATTGATCCTGCGGATCTTATATACATTGATATTTTGGTATGTGAGTTGTCCGTGCGGTTAGGAAAGAAATATGGGTATGAGGTACCGGGGAAAATATGATGATTTTATTATTGAAACGTGAGTTGTCCGTGTGGTTGTGATAGAAATATGGGCACGAGGTGCCGTGAAAAATATGAAAAAGGGTTGAGACACGTAATTTTTATGATTGTGAAATGAGGTATCACACGGTAACTTTTACTTGAAAATATATTTATTTGAAAGAAGTATATTTGAAAGATATTATCTTAAAGAATAATATGTGAAGAATTTATATTTGAAGGATTTGATTAATTGGTTGTACTTGTGCTCCTTATTCATCTGAGCAATAATGATGATGTTCTTGTTGCCTTGCTGTTTTATCACTGGTTGATTTTGTTGTTATAATTACTAGTTATTTTCCAGTACTATTGTATACTGCTATATTGCACATGTTATTTGACTAGTGAGTGTCTTGAATGTACTTCGTCACTACTCCACCGAGGTTAGTCTTGATACTTACTGGGTACCGATGTTGGTGTACTCATACTATACTTCTGCACATTTTTGTGCAGAGCCAGGTAAATGTGGAGTCAGTTGACCGATCGCTAGCAGTACGGATCTTGCTGTGGAGACTCAAGGTAAACCTGTTGCTGCGTTCGCAGGCTTCGGAGTCACCTTCTGATATTGTACTTGCACTGTTTTATCTCTATTTCAAAACAGTTGTATTTATAGGCTTTCTAGTAACTCAGTAGAGCTTATGACTTGTACTGCCGGTTTTGAGGATTGTAAGTATTGTATAGAGATTTCTACTTCGCAATTATCCATCGTTAATTAGTATTGTTATTATTTCAGTAAATGTCAGGCTTACCTAGTCCCTAAGACTAGGTACCATCACGACATCCTACGGAGGAAGATTTGGATCGTGACAGATTCCTTAAGCAATTCACCATATGAGAGTGCGTTGGACATGTGCAAAATTTTGCCCGGTTGATCGCATACTTGCTCGAATGCTTGAAGTTTGGCACACACAATAAAACTTATGGGGAAAATGCTCCGAAAAGTTTTACGATTAAGTGGATGAACACACCCGTACAACAGAACAAGTACGTGTTTGCCATATGTTTACCATGCATCTTATCTTTATGGTTTTTTCTTTATTTTTAGAGCTGTGTTATTGTGTTAATTAATCTTCAATTTTTTTCATTTTTTTTTGTAGTGTTGATTGTAGTATATTTGCTCTTAAGTTCCTTGAGATGCGGTTGAAGCAAGATGATGTCTTCAAATTCAAACAAAATGATGCGCTGACATTCGAGAGAGAATTGGCTGTGAATCTTCGGGCTCTTGAAAAGTTGAAAGAAGAAAGCGGTTATGAAACTCTAGAAGATCAACAAGGACATGACTATGGAGAATATGAAGACACTTTATTTGAATTTTTTTGATAGAGAATAAATTGTAAATGAAAAAAAAATTGTTATTTTTTCAATGATGTAAGTGAAAACAAAATTGGATTTGAGAATATATATTATTTTTTGTGAATTATGTGATGTCTATCTTTTAAATTTTTGTTCACTTCGCATTAATTAGTCTGAAGTTGTCTTGGATTGTATCAAATACTTTTCTCTTTTATCATGAACTTAAGCATGTTTTGTGAAACTTCAGCATATTTTGGAATGAAATTTTAGCAAATGAACTAAATAACTTCAGCATGCATTAGCAAAAATTCATTAGAAAATTACATACTGCAGAACAAAAATTTAAGCATGTTTAGTGTGAAGTTTTAGCAAATGAACTAAAAATCTTCAGCTTGTTTAGACTGAAGTTTCGGATAAACTCATGACAAAACTGTAGACTGCAGGATAAAATTTCAGCATGTTTCGGTATGAAATTTTAGCAAATGAACTAAATAACTTCAGCATGCATTAACAAAAATTCATTAGAAAATTATATATTGCATGACAAAAATTTAAGCATGTTTAGTCTGAAATTTTAGCAAATGAACTAAAAAATTTCAGCATATTGCCGACTGCATGACAAAACTTCAGCATGTGTTGGTATGAAATTTTATCAAATGAACTACATAACTTCAGCATGCATTAACATAAAATTTTAGCTTCAACGTGAAACAACTTCATGCTACATTAGCATGAAGTTTTAGCTTTAACGTGAAACAACTTCATGCTACATTAGCATGAAGTTTTAGCTTGTATTTGATTAAAACTTCAGACTTCAACGTGAAACAACTTTATTCTATATCTTTCATGTTAAATTTGAAGTTTTGAAAAGTTTTAAAGATCTATAAGTGAAAACTTCATGCTATATCCGTCAAACAACCTCATGCAAGTGTGATTCGTAAATGAGCATAAGTGAAAATATCTATAGGCATTAATTGAATTCAGATTTTATTTTTTAAGTTCAAAACGTAAAAAGCATGACAAATTACGAAAATAATTGCATAAACATATATCATGAAGCTCAATCAGTTTCACAAACTAATGCAAATCTAGTTCAAGTTTCTGGTTTTTTGATAAAGCTGCTGAGAGGAGAGGAGATCTTCGAGGGTTGAAGGAGATCTTTTGAGGAGGGACGGAGTGATAGAGGAGATCTTTTTTCACGAATGAGGTTGCAGATCATGCGATTAATGCGTGATGCAGGTTTTATATCTTTTGTTGGGGGGAGGGGGAGAGGGGTATAATTGTCATATTATTATAAATTTTTTGTCAGCTGGCTACCAAATCAATAATTTTTAAAAAGGGGTACATGTTAAAAGGTGGCACAAATATAGGGTACGACTACAAATCCCTTTAACTCCAGCTAGGCCAAAAATACTCTAGTGCCCATTCTTTAATGAATCATTAAACTAGCTCAATGACTTGCAATGGTCAAATCTCTAAAGGCACCCATTCTTTACAATTGGCCCAACCCTNATTCACGACTCGCTTGCCTAATATGATGTTTAACATTTATTAAAAATAATTCAATAATCTCATATCATATCCAATAGTTTTAATTAATTTTTAATTTAATTAATCCTTTCTCATGACTGCGGATTCGCTTGCGTAGCACTATTATGACAAAATTAATAAATTTCATCTCGACCACACATTCGCTTGCATAATGTAGTTACATCATCTTATTATTCAAAACATCTTTCAATAATTCTAATAATCAAGTAATAAAAGCGTACATAGGAAAAACATGAAAATCATATAAATCATAATTTGTCCAAAATTAATTCAAGCCATTTTTAGTCAATAAAAGCGATCGTGCTAGAACCACAAGACTCGGGGAATGCCTCACACCTTCTCCCGGACAATATAATTTCTTACTCGGACTTTATTTTCGCAAATTAAATAATAATAGAGTCAAACCTTCCTTTGACTAGGGATTCAAATAAAAGGTGACTTGCAACACCAAAAAATCAATTTCAAGTGGCGACTCTGTAAATAAAATAATCCCTATTCAAGTTTGTCACTTTAATTAGAAAAACTCATTGACCCACAACAATCCATAATATATATATCTTTTGGGATAGAAAAGGAGTGTGACATAACTTATTATTATTGACATATGGATAGTGGACTAAATATAAAGTATAAAATTTTTGAATTTTTAGATATCCAAAAATGCGAAGTACCAAATCCAATATCCAATCTGAAATCCAAAAATTATAAAAATTAAATTCAAAATTCAATCCATAATCCAAAAATTCAAATAAAAAATCCAAAAAATTCGAATTTCGGTTTGAATTTCGAGTTTGCCTGAACTATGTGAAACAGTGAAATCCACGCACACCCTTGAAAACAAGATAAAAATATCATTATCTCACGCAACTGCATATCTAATCTTGGAAATTGCATTTCTTATTTTTATTAGAGAATCTTACGGGAATGTACCAAAAAGATGGTACTTACCAACAATTAGTCATTTTAGTCATATTACCAAAATAGACAAAAAAATTATTAATAAAATACAACATTCAAAAAACATAGGGGAAAAAAAGAGTTTTTTTCGTTGCGAATGTTTGAAAATACATAGATGAGGCATATACAAATTTTGACGAAATTTGAAGATGAGTTAGATTAGTTTGGAGTCAAAATTCATTACCAGTGATATACAATGTTAAAAAAAAAAATAGGCAAAAAGATTTTTTTCCCAATGTGTATGGCTAGAATTCGTTGAAAATATATAGATGGGCAATACACAAAATTTGAGCAAGATTGGAGGTGATTTGGATTGGTTTGATATCAAAATTCATAATGAAAATCGAGTTTAAATTTTTTTCTGCGACACATGTATCAAGCTTGTATCATGCATATATCTCACATAGAGATATACATGTGATATACCTTTGATACATGTATGTGATACATAAATGATACACAGTGTGATCCAAATATCACATTTTTTCATGTTCATCTTTTACTTCGAATTTCAATTCAAACTACCTCCAAACTTCACCAAATCATCCCAAAACTGATTTGGTGGAGTTTTGAGTTAGTTATAAGCTTGTATGTACACACTATAACGGATTTTGTGGGAGAAATTGTCAAATTAGCTACTTTTTGGATTGCTAATCATGTTTAACCATTTTTAATGCAAAATAAATTGTGAGAAGAAAATATCTAGCTAAAACACGAAAAACTCAAAAAAAATCTTACTAAAATTTGAACATTTTACAGTTTTGGATGTTGAGAATCGAGAAATAATTCAGAGTTTGAAATCTGCTATTCAAACTCCATGGAGTCTAAGGAGAGATGGTTTGTACTCGTGGGCCGGCAATTTTATTGGAATCATGGGCTAAAGCCCATACATTTTAGGCCCAAAACTTGCTATGACTGTGAAAACAGAGGCATTGAGACTTGAGTCAAATGGTGACCATATATAGAAAAAAATATAGGAAGAAGGACCTGAGACCACATTCAGATTCAGAAACAAAGAGAGAAATGGGAACTATCTGGAACTCCACCTGCCCAATTCAAAAGAATCCATTTTTATTCCCTTCTTTAACCAAGAAATATGCAAATTCCTTTTGCAATTTCACCAACAAGTCCGTCCAAATTTCTTGCAAACTTCCTGGAAGTGAAGTTGAAGAAAATTATACTAGCAGAAGCGTCTCAAGTAATAAGATGGAGGAATACAACTTAGCTATGAAGCGAATGACGAGGAATCCTTATGAATATCACCATGATCTTGGTATTACCTTATTTCTAACAACTATGTTTCTTTCTGAATTATCTAATAGTACTAATTTCTAGTTACGGCCTTTAAATCGTTAATTCTCTTTTAACTTTTTATTTATTGGGGACCTCGCTTTTTGTTTTACCTTTTAAGATTTAGGTGTTATAGTAACCTAACTTTTAGAACGGGGTGGGGTTTTAGCATTTTAACTGAATTAGATGCCCCTAGAAAAGTGGATCGTGGTCTACTCTTTGGCTTTCTAATACTGGGTTATGTATGTTTTATGACTTTATGTAGACCAAGCTTCTGTTTATGTCACCGCTTTAATAATAAAAAGAAGATTAAAGTGTCAGATAGCCCTTTTTTCCTCTTTCTTTTAGATGACTTTTCTAACACAAAACTTTAAACTTCTCAAGGTTGAATCTGAGAAGTGATTACTGTAACAATATTAAACGATGGACGACGCCAAAATAAGCCCCTTGCGTAATAAATCTACATTTTCTGTCATAAAAATGGTCTGAGAGGAGCATCTGATGTACAATGTGTGGTGATATTGCTACTCTATATTGAATTAGTTGATTTCTTTATAGCATGTTTGGCCAAGGTGCTTTTTTTTTTTTGGTTTTTTATTCCCTCCCTCCAAAGAGCTCATCACCTTGCTATTGGGTGACTCGAGCTCACAACGTATTGGTCGGAAGTGGAAGGTGTTCACCACTAGAGTAACCCACTCTTGTCTTTGGCCAAGCTTTTCAAGAGCCAAAAGTGTTTTTTTTTCCTAACTTGAGGTGTTTGGCCAATCTTTTTGGGAAAAAAGAAGAAGCAGAAATAGTTTCTGAGAAACAGAAAAAAGTAGATTCTTCCCAAAAGTAGAAGCATTTTTGACTTTTCTTCTTGCCAAAAATACCCTTAACAAAATATAGTATATACCAAAATAACCGTTAAACTTAATACTTAGGATATTAATGTATAAATATTTTTTATTATTTTTAGGATAACTTTCTAATGTATATTGACTTTAGGGGTGAATGCGTTTATATTTGTTGAATGATTTTTAATATATTTAACTTATATTAAAAGAATTAAGTACTTTTAAATTTTATTTTCATATTTTACTTAAATAAAATTAAAAGATTTAATTATTGCATGTAATAACAAATTTTTAAGATTATTTATTTACTTATAATATTAAATATTAAGTAAATTTATTCATGTCCTTATTCGTAATTTGATACTTAAAAACATTTTCTGAAAAGCTTGGCCAAACACAAATTATTGCTCAAAAGTGTTTTTCAGATTGATTAGCCAAACACAAAGTGTTTCTCTCCCAAAAGCACTTTTAAAAAAAGCACTTCTCAAAATAAGCTGATTTCTCCATCTTGGCCAAACATGCTATTAGATTGGGCGATACAATAATGCTAAAATCCAAATAGTTTGCTCTTCTCTAAGTAGGAATTATTATCCATTTTGGTATACATGTGTTTCTTTATATAGTTAATGACATTTATCACGAAGAAGATGATAGCTATACAAAGAAGTTCTGATAGACACCTTATAAGTATGATTCTTTGACTACAGGAATGAACTACACATTGATAACAGAAAATCTCATTGTTGGCTCCCAGCCCCAGAAAGCTGAAGATATAGATCATTTGAAAAAAGAGGAGAAGGTCGCTTTTATACTAAACTTGCAGCAGGACAAAGATATTGAGTTTTGGGGAATAGACCTCCAGTCTATAGTCAGAAGATGTTCAGAGCTTGGAATTCATCACATGAGAAGGCCTGTAAGTAAATCTTCATCTTCTTTTTTTTTTTTTTTTTTTTTTTTTTTTTTTTTTTTTTGAGCTGGTACTTGCCATTTCTTGGAGGAGGGTGACAAGAAAGAGAACACAGACCTCTATCCCTTAAACCATTGGTCTACGCTATAATATGCAGCTTTGTGAAATACTGATAACACGTATTCCCTTCAACGGTCAACAACTTTGATGTGAATCCTACACTTCACTATCTTGGCCATAGTTATGGTCAATAGATGAAGCTCTAACATCAAATATGTAAGGTACGATTCAGGAAATCAGTGATTGTCCATATTTCAGAATCTTGCAGACTTGTTTTATAGCGTACTTACGTGCTTTGGCTCCATATCCAAATATTCCTGGTTATAGAAAATAACTAGGCTTTGACGTTTTCGACCTAGTGGATATAGTTTATAGACGTGTGATAGAAGAAGGGCACCATTTGCTTGTTTTTCTTTTCTTTCCATTAAGAATTCTCGAGTTCAAAATACTTCTTTTTTTCAGGTTTTTAGCCTAAGAAAATAAAATGTTCTTAGGTTTTGGCATTTTATTTTTCCCAAGACACCACACTCATTTTCTGTATTTTGATCATCACAAAACTTTAATTGCAGGCGAGAGATTTTGATCCAGATTCCTTAAGGGGTGTATTACCTAAAGCTGTTTCATCACTAGAGTGGGCAATTTCAGAAGGAAAAGGAAGAGTGTACGTACATTGCACTGCTGGATTGGGAAGGGCTCCTGCTGTTTCAATTGCTTATATGTTCTGGTTTTGTGGAATGGATGTAAGATTTCACCTTTTATATGACCATTAATTTTTTTCCAAATTCAGAAACATTATTTGTGAATCAATATTCCTACTATCCTTTGTCTATTAATTAAAGCGCATTAGTAACTCTTAATAGCACTATGTCCTGATATCTTGAAGTGCTTGTTGAGCAGCTAAATACCGCCTATGATACACTCACATCAAAGAGACCCTGTGGGCCCAACAAAAGGTCGATACGAGCAGCTACTTATGATTTGGCTAAAAATGATCAGTGGAAGGAGCCGTTTGAGAATCTGCCAGATTATGCCTTTGCTGATGTAGCAGATTGGGAAAGGACACTGATTCAAGATCGTGTCCGGGGCCTTCGTGACACTTGAGTATGCTGGTTAGGCTATTTCTTTAACTCATCCTTTTAATTTTTATTATTATTTTTTTGGATAGGTATTCCTTAATCCATCATTTTGACTATTGTCTTGGATTTTCTCTCAATTTTCGGGAATTTTTCTGCTTCATGTTTACCATGCTCGAGCCTGTTGGATGATATAAGCTTATCTTAGGAAGATATTAGCACATGCGCTTGCAAGACCATCATTCAAGTGATAAAAGCTTTTGTTTTCCTCGACAACTTGAAAATACATCATTGTTTTTATGTGTGTCAATTGTCACTCAAGACTTTTTGGTATGAAAGTGTTTTCTATTCACTTTTCCATTTACCGTTGAGAGTTTAATGTAGAAAAATAAAGGTGCTATTCATTGGCTCACATAGCCATGACTATAAAAGATATGTATTCAACATCCTAGGATGACTTTCATCACTAAAAATGAACGATAGTCCAGCACTCGTTCATTTTTCTCAGTTCTCCTTGAACATTGAAAATTTGTTTCATGCAAGCATGCAAACCTGGTCTCAACTTGGTGTTCGAGAAGAGATTCAGAGAGGGTAAATTGAAGGATACAAAAACCTGAAAAGAAAGCACAAGAACAATATTTCTAATACATAAGGACCCCCTCAAACTTATCCCTGATTTTCAATTACGACCTTAAAGCTTTTTTTTTTTTTTTNCAAAACTTCTAAGCGGTTTATTACCCATTTTCTTGGCTAACTGGGGTAGAGAGTTTAATGATCAGTAGGTTGATGTTTAATTATTCGTTGAATTAATAGGTTAATGATCAATTATTCAAAGTATTCAACAGGTTAATATTTATGATCGAGTATTCCTAGAGTCAATAGGTTAACATTAATCAATGGATTAATGTTCAGTCAGCCGTAGAATCAATAAATTAATATCGGGAGTATACATCGTGATAGATGTTTCAAACATCCTATGAGATGCTTCAAACATACTATGAGATGCTTCAAACATATTATGAGATGCTTCAAACATCTTTTGAGATGTTTTAAACATCTAATAACATGTTTGATGTTCATGATTTGAGTTTAGGGTTAGGGTCAAACATCCATGGAGAGATGTTTCAAACTTCTACCAGGATGTTTGATGATTATTTATGTCAGATTTAGTTTAAAAAAAGTAGCATATCCATTAAAAACATCCAAATAATAGATAATATTCATAAAAATAAATTTAAACAAAATATTTAGCAAATCATCCTTTCATAACATCCAAAAAGCATAAAAATACCAATCAATTACAAAGCATATCATGGTTCCATGTTCTTGTGAAAGATGTCCGCGTCCATTTTATCCCAGAACTCGCTAATAGTGTTGCCATATATCTTGTCTATCGGAGTGTTAGTGATAAGGTGCTCAATGAACATTAAGGACAATACTTCACAACTATTATAGGTGTCATCCCGTAGAAGATCAAAGAGCCTTTGAGGCAACCAATCATCATTGAGGGATTCTTCAGGCAAATGCATGAAAAGGCCACATGATCGGAGGTATCTTGGGAACATTGTGTTGATGGAATACAAAAATTCACCTAACTCATCATCGATGTACATAGAGGTTTTGCAGTCGTAAACAAGATGAGTATATTGGACTATTCAATAAGAAATACAATTGTAATATAATGATTTCTCTCAATGTTGTATACGCAGAAGATCCTTTTTACATCATCCCAAGGTCGACCACCACAGAAAGATATCTTTCCTCGGGTATACTTTAGATCTTCCTTTTGAAATTGATACTCATTCAAGGTCACGGACAGAGATGGAGCAGCATTCACCTTGTCAACCCCATCACGAAGAGTATTATAACTTTTCTTCAAAATATAAAGAAAATTACGATTCAGGATGATATCTGCTTGATCGTAGTGCTTGGTGTACCTTTTGCGTCTAATACGCATAAGGGCCAAGAAATCCTCCATATGCTGCAGAATCAAAATAAATAAATTATTAATCTACATATACTAGTATTAAGCATCCTTATGCAATAGGATCAAACATACTTATGGATGTTTGAAACTACTACTACAACAACAACAACAACAACCAGTGAGTTCCCACGAATAGGGTCTGAAAAGGATAAGATGTACGCAATCTTACCTCTCCCTGAAAGGACAGAAAGACATATGGATGTTTGAAACTGGGAAGTAAAAATAAATAAGATCAGTTACAGATTCATAAGGATGTTTCAAATATCTCAAAGGATATGTCACATCCATAACGATGTTTTAAACATCTTATAGGTGTTTTATACAACTTATCGGATGTTTCAAACATTCTCTAAGATGTTTGAGACGGCAAAGTAAAAATAAATTAAGATATGTCAAACATCCATAATAATGTTTAAACATCTCATCGGATATTTGAAATTGAAAAATAAAAATAAATCAAGATGAAAGGTTTATGAATATATACCTTATCCTCCAACCAGAGGTAGGAATCTTGGATGTTCTTGAAGTTTTCATAATCGAACATTCCCCTTGTAAATTGTGTATGGAGCTTCTTATTCTTGATAAATTCTATGAGGCAATTTTCCCTCTCACAGTCAATCGGTTTATAAATGTCAACGTTCAGCCTCTCCTCACTGACTGTTGTGGAGGTTTCATGTTCTTGGCCTTTTTAACATCATTTCCAATTTTCTTCCTCTTTTTGTTCCTTTTTTTTTTTTTTCACTTACCACATATCTCTTTGATAGCTTGTGAACCAATTCCTCCATAGTTTTCTACATAAACTTCATCATTTTCATTTCCTTTCACCTGGTCCTGCATAACATTCCTCCAGTTCATTTGCTCTTTTTCTTTTTCCAGACAATTGGGGCATATGCAAGGACAATGGACTCTAGATGTACCCGCAACAACACAATCTTTTATTTCCTCACCCTTTTTTCCAATAGAAGCAACTCCTATGCTATCTTCATAACTAACAACCTCCCCCTTGCCATTATCATCATCAAAATGCATTTATCTACCATCATCATAACCAAAATGTTCTTCTCCTGTACCATCACCATCATCATTACGAACAACTTCTCGTCATATTCTACCATCTCCACCGATAGATTTTTCTCAATGTGTCGTCATTTTCTCCAACCACATGGCTATCTCCAATTTGCGGGGCTTGCAAAACTACCCTTCTTTATCTCAAGGGCACCTTTGGGCACCACCCAAATGTTTTAAAATTGTCATTCCATCAAACTCTTTGCTTAGGCTATCCATCATCATGTCCTCTTTGTCGGATAACATAACAAGATTTTAGATGTAAGCCTCCCTCTTTTCAGCCTTGGTAGGGTGAAGAATAGGGTGCACCACCTAGGAAGGGAACATAAAGATTTATAAGTAAAAATATTAGAGGCAATGCTTGAAATATTCTATAAATATTTTAAACACTTTCTTCAGAATGTTTCAAACATCTACAAGATGTTTCTAACATCCACCAGAATGAGCCTTACCGGACCATCTTTGATTTGAAATGGATCATGCCTGTCTTTTTCTACTTTTTTCAAACAACCACCTCTTTATCCTCGGCAATATCCTCTCTTTTGGATAATCTTTTGGCTATAGTTGAGGTATGACTTCAAACGCCCAAGCCTATATTGTGTGACCCAAGCCTATAGAAAATTATATAAATAACACAAAAATAGAAATACTGAACAAGATTTATTTAGTTACCATGAATGCCTAAGGAAATATGTACAGGTTATTTAGTTACCATGGGGCTGTAGTAGTTTCTGCTTGTCTGTTGAATATCTTATGAAAGAGTGCCAATAATCTAGGAGTGACTCGTATGGAGCCGTAATTGTTTTTGCTTGACTGTTGAATATCTTACGAAAGTGCGTCAAAATCTAGGAGTGACTCGTATAACTTTTATGGATTTCCTTGGGCATTCATGTTAACTAAATAGATCTTGTTCATTATTTTTATTTTTGTATTATTTATATAATTTTCTTTTTATTTTTTGACACACAAGAGGCCTGGGCATTTGAATCCATACCTCAACTGCGGCCAAAAGATTATCTAAAGAGAGGACATTGCTGAGGATGAAGATGTGGTTGTTTGAGAAAGTAGAAAAAGACAAGCCCGATTCATTTCAAATCAAAGATGATCTGGTAAGGTTCATTACGGTGGATGTTTGAAACATTCTGAAGAAAGTGTTTTAAATATCTATAGGATATTTCAAGCATGCCTCTAATATCTTCGCTTATAAATATTTCTGTTCCCTTCCCATGTGTTGCACTCTACAAAGGCTGAAAAGATGGAGGCTTACATCCAGAATCTTGTTATTTTACTAGACAAATAGGACACGACGATGGATAGCCTAAGTAAAGTTGGATGGGATGATAGTCTTAAGACATTTGGGTGGTGCCCTTAAGATAAAAGAAGGGTAGTTTGCAAACCCCACAAATTGGAGATAGCCATATGGTTGGAGGAGATGATGGTACAAGAGAAAAATCTGTCAGTGTCCACTATCCCTGCATATGCCCAATTGTCTCGAAAAAAAGCAAATGAACCGGAGGAATGCTATGCAAGATCAGTTGAGATAGCAAATGGAAATAATGAAGTTTATACAAAAGATCATGGATGAATTGGTTCACAAGCTATTGAAGAGACCTGTGGTCTTCCCTGAGCAATTTAGGATCCTTACACTAAAGGAACAAAAAGAGAAAGGATGCTTAAAAGGGCCAAGAACAAGAAACCTCCACATCAGTCAGTAAGGAGAGGTTGAACGTTGACATTTATAAACCGATTGACTGGGAGAGGAGAAATGCCCTCATGGCTTTTATCAGAAAATAAGGAGTCTCAGACATAATTTACACGTGGGATGTTCGATTATGAAGACTTCAAGAACATCCAAGATTTCCAATTCTGGTTGGAGTATAAGGTACATATTCATAAACCTTTCATCTTGATTTAATTTAATTTTTCAGTTTCAAACATTCGATAAACATCATTATGGATGTTTGACTTGATTATTTTTACTTTCCAGTTTCAAACATCTTAGAGGATGTTTGAGATATCCTATAACACATACATCGTATAGGATGTTTGAAACATGCTTATAGATCTGTGACTGATCTTGTTTTTTTAACTTCCCACTTAGTATATATGGATTTTAGTAATTTATTTATTTTGATCCTGTAGCATATGGAGGATTTCTTGGCCCTTATGCGTATTAGGCACAGAAGGGATCCCAAGCACTATGATCAAGCAGATCTTCCTAGATTATAATTTTCTTTATATCTTGAAAGAACACTATAATACTCTGTGTGATGGACAATGTGAATGTTGCTCCATATTTGCTCATGATCTTGAATGAGTACCAATTTCAAAAGGATGATCTAAAGTATGCTCGAGGAAAGATGCCTTTCTGTGGTGGTCGACCTTGGGATAGTGCGAAAAGGGTCTTCTGTGTATACAACATTGAGAGGAATCATTATGTCACAATTGTATTTCTTATTGAATAGTCCAAGATGTTTGTTTACGACTGCAATACCTCTATGCACATCGATGATAAATTAGGTGAATTTTTCTATTCCATCAACACAATGTTCCCAAGATACTTCCGATCCTGTGGCTTTTTCAGGCAAAAAGAATCCCTGAAGCTCTTTGATCTTCCATTGACTAAGTTTTTAAAGTTTGCAACGGCTAGTTTTTTTGACTTATTTAATAAACTTAAAAGTTAAACGGAAATTAGAAAACTAAGTAAAGAATTATAAAATATTAAAACAAAAGACTTGTAATGAAATATTCTAGTAATTATAAATTTATAATAGAGTTATAATTTATTTAATATAATTTCAAACCATTAAGTAACTAAGTAAGATTGTAAGACAATTCATAAAAAAAATTCTTTCATTACAAGTCTTTTGTTTTTTTTTTGAATTCAAAAAAAATATAGATAGAATGTAAGAGATTTGAGAAAGAATGATTGATTTTTGTGGGAAAAAATGAAGAAGGATGGGGGTATTTATAGTAGAAAATAGGGCCAAAGTGTTTTTT